ATCATCGCCATCAGAAATTCATGCGATACATTTAGAGGTGAAGTGCGGACACTGCACAGGGTTGGGGAGGAGATTACGATGGCTTCTTAGTACTCTCAAAGTTGTGCGTTTATATTTACCAAGAGGAAAACAGCTGATCTCTCATTTCATTGACGAAATGTTGACGGTTAGAAAATGTGACCTCATTTTGTTGTGACCAATGGCTTCAAAATTGTGCTCCATTTCTCCATATCACCTTCAGTAGTTTTAGAAGGATTTTATCGAGAACTTTTAAATATCATGAAATTTATTTTTGTCAATTAAATCGGTACGCAATGCTGACGGATGTCCGTGCGGACTTATTGTCTTTCTGCCTCTTGTAATTTTTATCATCATCCTTATCCTTACAATCTTTCGTTTTCAACTTCGAAATGAGTGTGCAGTAGCTCTTGAATTGGTCGCGAAAAATTCACTTCAGATCCATACCCAAACGTTCTGCTTGAGATTATCGAATGTTTGACAGAATTTATTTGTCCAACTACTACTCTCCGCCTACGCTATTGCGTATACTTTTCGATCTGCATTTTCTTCCGCAAATTGAAAATGGTATCAAACGTGGTGTTCAGAGTGTATTGGCCCTTTGAAAGTATGCGATTCATACTCACAAGTACCTTCTGGCCGGTTGCAAAAAACGCAGATCTAAATTCAGCAAAACCAGCCACTCGTCCTCATCGGATGGATGTTGTCTTGTGCCCAACCAAACCAAAGTTTGAAGGCGGTTGCAAGCGTACAACCTTTCAACAAGTTCGTTCCACGAATAACGTTGTACTCAACCACCATCCCTCGATTGACCAAAAGGTCGACGCGGATTCCTTGTGTTATAATTCCAGGGTAGATGCTGGTCGAGGTTTATTGTTTATTGAGGATAACGGATGGGATATTAGTAATTTGGCATACATAACACAGAGAATCTCATCAGAAACATACCATCGCAGTTCCTGGCCGCAAGACGGTGATGAACGTCGCAATCGGTAGTTATTCTCTGAGACACAACAATTAGCCCTTGGTGGTGTCCTTAATTTTTGATCGCCGAAAGTAATCACCAACTGTGTTACCTACTACTCATAAGTGGGTAATATCTCGTAACAATTGCATTTTCCTTAATTACGAGGGCATCCGCAGTCTCTTTTGTTACCTTGAACCAAACAGAACATTGATCTAATAGATACACCAATCTTTTGTTCCTACTACCCTGTTGCACACAAAACTCGCGTTGTCCCCAATGCTGATTTGATTTGAGTTCTACTTACTTTAATCGAACGGATTCATTACATCTTTCTCTTCCGGCTTTAATCAAGACCCCCGATGGAAAGTCAGAATGCTCTGTGCTATTCCGGTTCTGAGAGCTGCTTCTTTGTTAACGCGATAATAATCGTGCAAAAAATTGCTTGACTATTGGGGCCAATTACCGCTCCGCTCCTCCCTTTTGTTATTGTTCTATCAAATGGTTCCGTCGCATTGCTCAAGCGATCGAGTGACTGCCAGATGTTCACCGTGGCTAACCAGATAGATAGACAGCTCTTTGAGAGCCAGTCCCTTGAACAATCGGTTCTATGATTCAATGTTTTTGTAAGTGGGTTAGATGCTACTAACCGCAACAAATGTCTGTCTCTCGAAGATCGTTTGTGTGTGACTTATATTATTATTACATTTGTAATGCAAGCATAAAATAAATGTGTTCAAATTAATTTGTGATCAAGTGATGGAAATCTTCACAGATCCCCGAAATCATTGGACGGAGAATGTCAGGATGTAGCATTGTTTGAAAATGAATTAGCTGTTTCTCCATCCCTATAGAAGATGATCGAATTGTTTTCTTTCTTGAATTTGTCAGACAGCTTTTGATAATCATCACAGTGATTTTTTTCTACTCTAGACTCCCGTTTAATCACTACCGCGTCCCATATGAAGCTCTTTTTCTTTGGGCATGCGGATGATTGGACTAAATTTCCGTGGAAGTACACGACCGATTTCTCGGTTCTTACCGCTCGTCAGGCATGCGTATCCGTTTTGGCTTTCTTTCGATTTCGCCGAAAACATGTGTCCATCTTCACTTCGTTTTTTTAAAGTGGCGAGTTTTTTGTGGATCGTATCAAATATCTCACTCTCATTTTTGGCGAATTCTTGTTGCCCACACGATTTCGGCCAACGCTTTTCGTGACGTGAACTCCACATTTCCTAATTGATACTTGATAGTTTCTCCATTCAACAATTGCTGACTGTCGCATTGTGTTGTGCAATCATTAAAGGAAATGCCCACTTTCTCCATTAAATGGTTCACTCTCTATCTGCATTTTTGTTTTTCTCAGATACCTCTATGCGACAAGCCAAACGTACTTCATCCCGGTTCGTGTTAGCTTTGCGTGAATTTCGCTTGCCCACTTGCCAACAGCCTGGGTTCGCAATGCTTCAGACTCTGTTACCGCATCACGCGGAATCACCGGAATTGTTTTACCTTGTAGTTGCCCTGTTGTTGCAAATTCCCATTCGTCACATTCCTCCCGATTTCAAGGTGAGTTTTAGGATCACGCATCACTGTTTGTTTATCTTTTATGATAAATCTTTAACGAAAACGTTTTGCCAACCGCTGGTTATTTTTCTATTTTCCACGCTGTTGTCAGTACTTTCTAACAAGAGTGCGTCAGGGCAATGTGACTTTCAATTTTCTCACCATGGGATTATTATTTGCTTTAGGACTCGTTCCATTAATCTTATTCAGCTGTTTATTCCTCAGAACGGTGTGTATATTACGGAGTTTGGGTAGTGATAAACGTTGATTTATTTCTTGGCTTAATGATGATTTGTCCTTGTATCGACTCCATCGGAGTTGAGAATCGCAATAACCATTATGTCTCAATTGTACGAGAATAAAACCAGTTGGTTAAAGATGAATTAAGATTTCTTTACACTCGTTTTCCTTCGCGTTTGATACCTCTTCCTCAGTTTATTTGAGCAAGAAAATAGTTGATCGCAAACTGATTGCAAAACTTCTTATTGTTGGGTTATAACTTTGTAGATCAAAATGCACCTTGATTGATACGTAACCGGAGATACCTGTACCGACTCTTGCATTGTAAAACGATTCAACTGAATATTCATCAACCCCCTTGCATCGTATGAGATAAAATCTGTCTCTCGAAGATCGTTTGTGTGTGACTTATATTATTATTACATTTGTAATGCAAGCATAAAATAAATGTGTTCAAATTAATTTGTGATCAAGTGATGGAAATCTTCACAGATCCCCGAAATCATTGGACGGAGAATGTCAGGATGTAGCATTGTTTGAAAATGAATTAGCTGTTTCTCCATCCCTATAGAAGATGATCGAATTGTTTTCTTTCTTGAATTTGTCAGACAGCTTTTGATAATCATCACAGTGATTTTTTTCTACTCTAGACTCCCGTTTAATCACTACCGCGTCCCATATGAAGCTCTTTTTCTTTGGGCACTTGTGGATGATAGCCTTCGCGCAAACTTCGTATTCCTCTGTACCGGGACCTATATTTTGCTGGATGCATCTGATGCATTTGGTTCGAATTAGGTGTATACCGCACTTCACCCCTTAGATTTCTTCATGATCCATCTCCTTTTTTCGTTGTTGACAGAATTTAGCGGTTGAACAGTGGATGCGACAGCTCAAGGTAATTTTGTCACCCAACTCATTCAGCTGTCGCTGTTTCCCAATCAGCCTGTCATTTGTTCATTTTTCCTATCGGCGTGTGTCTCATTTTGTTCCGTTCATTTGTCGCGTAAACCCACTCTATTTTTTCACTGTCCGCCTGATCGTCGTCGTTGTTGTCTTCCATAAACCAATCTCGCGTGAATCGGTTATTTTCATCTTTCTCCACTCTCTCTTCATGTCTCACTCATCCTGATCTTGCTTGTTGTTTGACTTACTTACAACCGGCCCGTATTGTTCACGTTTGATTTGTCATATCTAGGATTTCTCCTACCTCTTGTCCTTTTTCTCCCTCCTTCATCGAATCGTTCTCCATGTCCCATGTTGTATTACTGATGGTCTCGAAGTAGATCTTGGTGAGTGGGTATGACTTACGTTTAGAGAAACGAGATTTGACGGTAATTAAATCGAATTTGATGCAGTATTGCCGTGCTTTAATGTTTTATTTCAACCCTGTCGATCCTACGAGGTTGATTGCATTGTGTCTTGTGCTTGCGTGCATGCGTCGTGTGTAAGTTGACGCAAGGCACTTTGTTCAATTCGTGTACACTAGTGTAATGTGTGCCTTTACTGATTTCGAAAATGATCACCTTATTGTTCTTTGATCTCCTCCGGGTAGGTCGTCCTGGTTTCTTTTCCATCCCAAACAATGGAGCTCCGTATAGTTATCACTAATGTTCGTTTCAAATACTGGAAGGAACGTTACTCCTATTTCTTCAGTTCCTCTTTGTTTTTCTGCTGTCATCGATATGCTATTTCCAGATTCTAGATAACACATTCGTCGTAAAACCGATCGTCGTAATTAGATTATCAACAGCACAATGAACTACTTTTCACTTACTTTCATCGCTATGTGGAATTGAATTTATCTTGGATCATTATATACAATTCCAGCTGTATCAATTTTCAGTTACTTCTTTTATGTGGAATGTGGGATTTTCATTAGAATCATTGTTCTTGTCTCTGATTATTTCGGATGGCTACTGGCCGTGGTTACTAGATATTCCATGATGGAATTCCCTCGGCAAGCTACGGATGCCTATTAGTCTTTCGTGGATCCTCTTATTTTCATTCTTCTAGATTTTAAAGGGGTTTTCTGCAGAATCAATTGCTCTATATCTTTTTATGGTTTCTCTTTTTTTCGAAAAATGTCCTAGTCATTCTTATCTCGCTCGCTTACATTTAATTTTTACGAATTTCTTAAACTTGTTCCTTACCGCCTGACTTTTGTCCTCCGTTTTATTTCATTGAATAATTTTCACCTGTTACGTGAAATTAGTCCGAATTCACGAGCTTGGGGTGATAACAAGTTTACCCTACGTCTGCAATCGTACTGCTGCTATTAAATCTAAGTGAGTTGTGGGATAATCCGGAAAACTGCATTGTTATCATGGCTCTGTTTGGTGCATACATGGTTCAGTTGGCCTCACGCTGCTTGTATCCCTATCC